CTGCTTGATGCCCTCGACAGAAGAGAAGTTGATCTACAAGCTTATGCAGATGACCTTATCATCCTGGCAAGGTCCACGTCGGGAAGGGTAGCTTGTAATATCCTTCAAAAGGCGTTGGACGTTGTTCACAGTTAGTGCCTGAGGGAGTAGATGTCTGTCAACCCCAGCAAAACTGTGTTAATCCCCATCACTAAGAGAAGAAAATTGGAAGATCTAACGCCACTTTCCCACAATGGTGTGGTCATTCCATTTGGAACGGAGGTGGAATATCTTGGCATTGTCCTTGCTAAAAAACTCACCTGGAACGCTCACTTGGAAAAAGTTTTACACAAAGCCAGACTGTCTCTATGGACATGTCGAAGGCTTTGTGGTAAAACTTGGGGTTTAGGTCCCAAACAAACCCATTGGATTTATGTGATGATTGTCAGACCAATGATCACTTACGGTGGAATTGCTTGGTGGCCGAAGGCTTTACAGAAAGCGGCCCTACCGAAACTCTCTAGCTTACAGAGACAGGCTTGTCTGGCTATCAGTGGTGCCATCAGTACCACACCGTCAGCGGCCATGGATATCCTTCTAGATCTACCTCCTCTCCACATTTTTCTGAAGAGAGAGGCTAGATGGACTGCATACAGACTTGTGCACATTGTCAATTGCACAAATCAATTCAATGCAGAGTGCAACAGACTGTTGGTTGACATTGAAAGTCACAGTATTCTGTAAATGACCTCTGACTTTATGCCTCCAACTGTCAACTACGAACTGCCTTATAGAGTACTATTCCCGAGTAGAGAGGACTGGATCCTCCGGGGGAAGGAAATATTAAGAGCAGATAGTTGTTGGTTCACAGATGGATCAAACACACCTTCTGGTTCTGGTGCAGGTGTTTTCAGTTGCAGACCCAGGACAGAGTTATCTACCTGCCTAGGAACTTATGCGAGTGTATTTCAAGCGGAAATGTATGCTATTGAATTGTGTGCGGAGATGTTGGATAAATCCAACCTCACACACAAGTCAATCAAAATATTCTCGGACAGTCAAGCGGCGTTGGAAGCTCTTGACTTCTACCGAGCAACGACTAAATTGGTAGCAAACTGCCAAAAACGACTCTCCTCGATAGGAAGACTAAGTTTTTAAAGTTATCTGTATCTAATATATCGTCAGGAATAGCTGACCCACAGATGCCCTCATATGGGAAGGTTGCTATGGGCATCAAGGTGGGAATCTTGCACCTTGAACATCAGACAATTTCAATAAGGTACGATTACAGAGTCGCACAAGAAAGTGGCTCCTGGCTGGTGGCAGCAATTAGTACCCTTCAGCCTTGGACGAGCATCTCCCTGAAATATGTCGCAGACTGACAGCCTATCAAGTCCTTACGAGATTGAGGAAAATGTACTTTGTGACAACCTCGAAGGGAATTATTCTTCACTAGGAAATTCAGGGTCTGGTAGCAGAGCACACACTCTGTGCCTGCCCTTCAATGTTTGGTAGAGTCGTGGTCTTGCCAGGTCACTCACCAAATAAAGTAATCGGCCTTGTTGAGAAGATGGATTTTTTGTCAGAGTTCGAGTAGGTGTGAGGCACAATAAACCATCGCGAGCCTTAAGGTTTCAGTCTAGTCACAAAACTTCCTATGTTCTTTTTCGCGACCTACACTTAAATTAGGTTAGGTCTAAACCGCAACCCGCAAGGGTTTGTTGTGGCTCACACCTATTCACACTCGACCAAATGAACCCAGCTTCTCAACGAAGCCGTTTAGTTTGTAGGGTGAGTGGTCTTTCAGGTCAGATGGTAGGAATAAGGGTCTGCCGAACTCTAAAAACTTGATTCGGTTCCCAGCGGGGCAGGCACAAAGTATATACTCTGCTGTTTCATCATTTTCCTAACAGAGGTGACACACACTGTCTTCCGACAGTCACTGTCTTCCTACAGTCACTGTCTTCCGACAGTCACTGTCAAATGACAGTGACCTGTAAGGAGGCTTGTTATATCATCGTAGTTCATTCCTACTGTAGTCCAACAACTGTTTGATATCAAGCTTCCAAAGGTGAATAAACTGCCAGAAGTCCATAAATCATCTTGCCATCCAGGTGTTCAATGTTTATTTGGCAAAGCTTAAAGCGATGCCAATGACAGGTTCTGGTCCGATGAAGCTGCTTGCCTTCCAGACCAATATGGCCAGGAATTCAGACTAGAGACAATCTGTTAAGTCTTCCAATCGAGGAGAGTCGAGTCGTTTTTGGCAATTTGCTCCCAATTTAGAAGTTGCTCGGTAGGAGTCTATAGCTTCCAACGCCGCTTGACTGTCCGAGAATATTTTCATTGACTTGTATATGAGGTTGGATTCTTCCAATCTCTCTGCACACAATTCAATAGCATAAATTTCTGCTTGAAATACAGTCGCATAGGTTCCTAGGTAAATATCTCTGCCCTGGGTCTGCGACTAAAAACACCTGCACCACAACCGGAAGGTGTTTTTGATCCACCTGTGAACCAACAACTATCTGCTCTTAATATTTTCTTCTCCCGGAGGATCCAGTACTCTCTACTCTGGAACAGTACTTTATAAGGCAGTTTGTAGTTGACAGTTGGAGGCATAAAGTCAGAGGTCATTTCCAGAATGCTGTGACTTCCAGTGTCAACCAACAGTCTGTTGCACTCTGCATTAAATTTATTTATGCAATTGGCAATGTGCACAAGTCTGTATGCAGTCCATCTAGCCTCTCTTTCCAGAAAAATGTGGAAAGGAGGTAGATTTGGAAGGATCTCCATGGCCGCTGATGGTGTGGCACCACTGATAGCCAGACAAGCCTGTCTCTGTGAGCAAGAGAGCTTCGCCTGGGCTGTTTTCTGTAATGCCTTCGGCCACCAGGCAATTGCACCATAAGTGATCATTGGTCTGACAATCATCACATAAATCCAATGGATTTGTTTGGGACATAAACTCCAAGTTTTATCATAAATCCTTCGACATGTCCATAGAGACAGTTTGGCTTTGTGTAAAACTTGTTCCAAGTGAGCGTTCCAGGTGAATATATTCCAGGTGAATATATCAAGGACAATGCCAAGATATTTTACCACCGTTCCAAATGAAATGAGGGAAAGTGGCGTTAGATCTTCCAATTTTCTCTTCCTGGTGATGGGGATTATCACAGTTTTGCTGGGGTTGACAGACATCTGCTCCCTCAGGCACCAACTATGAACAACGTCCAACGTGCTTTGGGAGATATTACAAGCTACCCTTCCCGACGTGGACCTTGCCAAGATGACAAGGTCTTCTGCATAAGCTTGCAGATCTACTTTTCTTCTGTCGAGGGCATCAAGCAGACTATCCATCAGGAGCGACCACAGAAGGGGAGATAGTACCCCACACTGAACCTAATGTCCTTGCCTTGAAAAGTCGTAGTTGCAGTTCTGCTTACTAGCATGGCATAGATCCAGCCAGTTACGGTCGATTATATACCTTTCCTAGCCAGAGACGATCCTATAAATTTAGGTAGTGCATTGTCAAATGCTCCTTCAATATCAATAAATACAGCAACCTCAATATCCTTGTCAAGGGATTGGGAGATTTTCTCTACAAGGTTGTTTAATACTAAATCTGTCGACCTACACTTAACCGTTGTTAAAAATTACTATCACCATTTATATCAACAGTCTCAAACTTAAACCTACACCTGACATTATTATATTTGATAAAATGGACTTAAAAATCACTTTTGTTGAAATCACAATTCCCTTCAAAAATTAGTTATGATTGAAGAACTCAACTAGGCTATTTCATTTCGCAAAACTATGCACTTATTGGTAGGTGTTGGGTAATGTCAATATGAAAGATTCATAATAATTTTATGAACCTACATAAATGAAACCAAGCAATTTGAGTTTTCACATGAAGATTTCGTTCATGTATGCATATTATTTTAGTCGGTAATACATAGTCATTCACTGGGAACTCTAAACTTACAGCAAAATCTGTCTGAAAATAAAAAATCAAGTAACTTTGATGTAGGTGAACCACTTTTCATAAAAGGATGAAAAACAATGAGGAAAGTGGAAAAAATATCCCTTGTATCAGATGTAAACTAATTCAGACTCGCCCCTAAAACTTTTTTGTCTCTCCTAATATCAGTGTGTAATTTTGGTGGTTCAAATGGTATCACAATTTGAATCAACTGAGTCTGAAATTTGATTTAAAGCAAGTTCAGTTTTACAGAAATTTAAAATGGAACAACTAGTATATTTATACATTTTTTGATTCAGAAATTTACTTTACATATAAACATCCTAGTTTAGTTGAAAAAATGCTGTAAAATACTTGAAAAATTGTCTAGGGAGCTATGACCACTGAAAAATATTTGATTTGCTTCTGTGATCTATGTGGAAATCAGATCAGTACTTCTAGTGTTACCATTTGAACCACCAAAATATAATGATACCAGAAAAAAATACTTATAGGGGCAGCCTAAATTATTGTAGAAATCTTTAGACTTATGTTCTATGCTAGAAAGGAAGGTAGCAGGTTTGTTGGATGAATGCTCATCCCATAAACACCCCTTATTTTTGAAATATTCGTTTCCAGTTAGTCTGATATATCCAAAATTATTTTGAGTACAGTTGTCAGCTGAAAGATTTGAAATACCATAGAGAATTTCAAATTCTAAAATGGTGATAAAATATTCAAACAGTTTTCTTCATCTCCTGAAGACACTAAAACAAGCATTTTTCCCAATCAGCAAAAATGCAATAATCTTCTAGACGCGCCTTTTACCAACCAGGTTGGCGTCTTCAGGAGATGAAGAAAACTGCCCTGCCAACTTGGTTGGTTGGTGAAACGCGCATCAAGAAGACTATTGCCTTTCTGGTGATTGGGAAAAATACTTGTTTTGGATTTATTCTACACCAGAGGTTCCAGTTTAACCATTTATTTATGAGTTAGTTAAGTCGTGTTTTTACGTTAAGGAGTTGACGAAAGTGCAACATTAATGATATGTATGTTTCCCAACAAACATATTTACTCACTTTTCCAGTAGTATTATAGCTACATCCGGATTAACCTTCTTATATTTATTAGTTTCTTGTGCATAGTCGTGGAAGTAAGTAGGCCAGTCCCATGAAATAAACAAATCCAAAATTTCTCTGAGTGTTTCAAAATACGATAATAAAGAATCTTCTTGCAAACCTTTGACAGGATCAGAGGCGGCAAATTCTGTAAAAAAAAATTTAATCACAGTATATGTGCATTTACTATGTATTTGTTCGAAAGTATCGGTTCTCAGAATCTACATACTCAACCCTGAATTACTATTGAATAAGCATACAAGAAAAAGACTTCAGGTATTTGAAATAATTAGAGTTATCAAAAGATTTCGAGTACTACTGAGAGGGACTCGGGTACTCACGATACAGTATTTTAAATAACAGACCAATAGCATATCTCACTATTCGATGCCAATAATACGCTTCTATTTATTACTACTGATACATATTCACTTGTTTCTTTCCAACAACAAATTTCTTACTTCTGAACCCCATGAATTAGACACTGTGGTACTTTCACAATATGGTACCATACATTATTACCAACCATTATGTCTCCAGTGAATCTCTCAATAGTAAAATTACACATTTTCAATTTTATTCGAAAAATAATAACTCAACTGGATCTCACAAATAGCAATAGGTTATCAAGATTTATCCAATTATTCAGTGTTGACAGGCTCACATAACAGAAATTTCTGCTCAGGGAAGAAAATATTGCGGTAATGTGGAATTGGTTATTTTTTGCCCATAAAAAATATCTATATATCTATATGGTCCTACTGCTAAATGATACTATTGACAATTGTAGAATTTTATGTGTTTAATTCATGCAATTTGACTTGAAATATTGATTCCATAAGCATCACCAACACAGATCCGGCTGTTATTTATGATGAAAATTATGACATTCCATTGGTTTTTTTGAAGCTTTATTACCATCAAACTGAACAATTCAAAAGTAAAGTTTCTGATCCTTTGATGTTTTTTTCATCATGCTGACTTTAGGAGGTAAAGAAAGCAATAAAGCCAAAAAACAAAAATCTAAAATTGCTTTAAATATTATGTAAATTCAGGTACTCAATCAAGTACCTGAATGGTGTATATTGGCGAATGTAATGAATCATTGTTAGTTTATTATATAAGTTTGAGAATGTCCATATAGGACGAAAACTACAGTAACGTTAGTTACAAATAAAAGTGGTAAAAAACATAGAAATTTTCAGTTCTCTTTTCATTTAAATGAATTATGTTCAGTGAATGGATTCAGAACCCAATTTATCCAATACAACATTAACTCAAAGTAAGACATTGGTTATTTTATACTCATATTATTCTGCGAGCAATTTTCTTTGTTTATATGAATTACAAATATATTAAAAACTTATCACTGACAGTGCATATAAATCATTTTCAATATCAAACTCATATTTGAAGATGTATAAATAAAAAGACAAACCTAGGAAATCAAATTGAAACTTGAATCTCATTAATACCATTTATTGTATGATTTTCAATATAGTGAAAAGGTATTAATGAGTTTTAATATGGATTTTCATCAAGTATCCGCCAGTTCTATTCAATTATTGAAGCTTAAATTATTTCAAATAGAAATGAATTGATATTGATATGTATTGAAAATTTAAATTGAAGATAATTGATATTGAAAAAACAAAAGGGCAATATCCTACTGATCAAAACTATTTCGAGTAAATGGGTGAGCAGTTGACTATAGTCTGCTCGCTGAATAGATGGAACGTGATCTGCATGTGAGTTTTCACACATCCAGTAGTATTGGTTGACTGATTTCAACTTTCGACCATTTTCATAGAGGCAAAGAAATTCTGTCTTTTTGGACCTGTCATCTCACATTTTAATTTTTATTAGTTATGTCATCAATTTTTGCGTATATTCGAGCTTCAAAGAAAAATTGCTATGCTCGTTCAATATTTATGGTATTGTTTATATCTAGATGTTGACTTTGTAAACACACAAAATCACGTGGTCACTCCATCTGTTCGGTAAACGGACTATAGTGATATAATTTTGTACCTATTGTGGTACGTACGTTCACATTGTAACAAATCCAAATTCAGTTGATTCAAGGCACCCATAGAAATCTGTTTTATATCTTCATTCAGTAGTAGGGCCAGTAAAGAATTTGCGATGTGTTCGCAAGCTGATTTACAAGCAATTTGTGCCGCTTCAAGCTGAAAACAAAATCATGATGAAAGTCAAATATAATTCAATAAAATCGATAAAGATATCAAAATTACTCACTGGAATATTTGTGAAACTTTGAAATGTTGTTTGCAGGAATGCTATAGTGTCAGAAATGTAGCTGGAAGCGTGTCCCTTCGGTTCCACCAATAACCAGTCATAATTTTCTAGCTCTAAGAACTCGTCGAGTTTTTGCCTCAATTTTTCACAAATTTGTCGTACAGCTTCTTCTCTAGATACCGAAAATAAAGCTGTCTGACCA